GTTGGGCTTGCGGATCAGCGGGTCCACCAGCATCAGGAAGGCCATGTACAGCAGCAGGGCGCCCACCACCGACAGGTAGATGACGATGATCACCTGGGGGACGGCCGCCCTGTGACCAGCCGGCGACAAGAACTGGCGAAGCGTGTGGATCGGGGCGCCCTGGGATGCCCGGGTGGCGGTGGGGAACGGTCCGGCTCAGGGCGGACAGCTGCGCACACTACGCAGGGGGAGGGGCTGGGCTCGGAGGCGGAGGAGGAGGAGGAGGATGGACCCGGGGCTCCCCCCACCCCCCACGGCTGGGAGCAGGACGGCTGAGAGGGAATCTTCAGATCTGGGGACGCAGCGCCCAGTGCGGGGACGGGCACCCCGCAGGGAGCGGAGGAGAGCCGGGGTCAGGATGGTGACCCTGAATCTCCTGCTGTAGGGAGAGCCTCCCGGCTGGAGTGGGGTTTGTTTTACAGAAAAGCCAGCTTCAGCCCGGCCGGCGTGGCTCAGGGGTTGAGCGTGGATCTAGGAACCAGGAGGTCAGGGTTCGATTCCCGGTCAGGGCACATGCCCGGGTTGTGAGCTCCATCCCCAGTGCGGGGCGTGCAGGAGGCAGCGGGTCCATGATTCTCTCTCATCACTGATGTTCCTCTGTCTCCCTCTCCCTCTCCCTCGGAAATCAATAAAGATATTTATTAATCAAGAAAGAAATCAATCGATAAATACTGGACCAGGAAATCGGTACGCAGGGCCTGGCTGCGGACAGTCGGCACCCGGACTAGGGGGCCACGGAGGCTCTGGGGCAGAGGGAGGGACAGGCCCTGGTCCTCACTCCCTGTGGCGAGCCCACGCCCACACTCCTGTCCTGAGTCCACCCAGGGATGTAGCAGCACAAGGGTCAGGGGCGCCCCCAGGGGACCAGCCCAGCGTTCCCTCCATCAGACGGCGGCGAGCTCTGACCTGCCCGTGAGCAGCACCCGGCAGGGCACAACCTCAGAGGCAGGGGAGGATGCCGACTGGTGGCTGGAAGGAGAGAGAGGAAGACAAGAACTGGGGGAAACCGGGCGTCTCCCAGGCTCTCACCCCCAGTGTCAGGGGAGCCCCAGGTCAGAGGTCGCAGGACGGCTGGCTCCAAGGAGTGGGAAGTGGGTCCCGGAGTCTGGGACAGGCCTGCCCAGAAGCTCATTCCACAGCCGCTGGGAACGTTCCGGAATGAAGCCCAAGCCTGCGGGTGTGGGCGGCCAGGGCTTGGGGTAGGGGTGCGGCGCGAGCGGTCACCTTGATGGTGGTGGTGCTGCGCTCCTCGTACTGGCACTCGCACAGCAGGCAGTAGGCCTCCACGTCATGACCGGGCACCGGCATGGGCTCCACCACGTGCAGGCAGTTGCTGCAACAGACACGCACGGCCGTGGGCGCGGGCACCGTGGGACCCGGCCCCGGCATCCGTCTGGTGTGGGCTGGCGTCCATCTGCTTCTTCCCAGGTGCCCTTGGAACTGCGACCGCACCAGACGAGGTCCTGGGCCCCGCCCCCAGGACTGCACGTCTCAGGCCTTTGTGAACCAAAGAAAACCTTTGGGGGGGATCTGATGGACAGCATGGTGACTGCATTAACCAGTGGACTGTGCACTCGAAAGGTGCTGAGCCCGGCCGGCAGGGTGAGCGTCCACCTAGGAACCAGGAGGTCAGGGTTCGATTCCCGGTCAGGGCACACGCCCGGGGTTGCGAGAGATTTTAAATGTTCTCACCACACACACACACTTGGTAACTGCGTGAGGCCTGGAGGTGCTCACTAGCCCTGCATACACGTATCAGATGGCCGCTGGGCCTGCATCTCGAGCTCACACAAGGCTGCATGTGGCTCACACCTCAATGAAGCCGGGGGAGCAACCACCAAACGCTGGGGGGCAGGAGGTGCAGGGAGCCCCCTGACCGTCCCACTCCACACCCCAAGAGAGGCAACACTGACCCGGACCCCCGTGAAGTGTGAATCCCCCCTTCTGTGTTCGGCTTCCTCCGGGACTGGGCGAGAACGGGGCGCCCCAGTTCCCCAGAACCCCGCAATAGAAACCCCGCTCCCTCCACCCACACGGACACCCCGGGCCCCCAGCCCGACCTCAGCCCACCCTGAGCGTCAGGGATCCCCCGGGGCGGCCGCGCACGCAGCCTTACCAGTCCTTCTGCGACACGTTCTGCTTGTAGATGTGCCCGCTGATGTTTCTGTACGGCGGGCAGATGCATTTGCACCGGATGTCCTCGGAGCTCTGCCGGAGGAGGGGAGCGGGCGTCAGGGGGGCCCTGGGCCCAGGGTCTAGCAAGACTCCAACTCTCGGCTCCCTGCTCCCTCCAGGAGGCGGCCACCATGGGGGATGGGGTGTTCACCAACCCCACGGACCCGGATCACATCACCCCCACCCCCAAGGTCAGCAAAGAGTGACTTCTGCAGGGACAGAGAGCTGGCTAGGGCTGCCCTCCCCAGGAGGACGCCGAAGGATCGGGGCGTCGGTAACCTGAGCCCACACCTGTGTGTGCACCTCTGTCCAGTCGCCCTGGCGGCTGGCCTCTTCGCCCCTTTAGCTCCAACGTCCCAGGCGAAGACGGGGGAGAGGATTGGGGTGAGTGGGACAGAGTGGGCCGCTTCCATGGGGTTACTCGAGCTGCCCCTCCGAAGCCATAAGGGATGAGGCCACGAGTATTCTCACCCCAGTTCGGGATTCCCCAGAGGCAGGAGAAGCAACCAGAGTGGCCCCAAACCCGGGTTAAATTCCTGACGTAATTGCCGACCGGTCTTCCCCAGAAACATCTCAATCAACCAATCAGGGGTTATCAAAGCCTCCCTGATGGTCAGAACCTGAACCTGCACAGACCTAAGGTCGGGGTCATTTACCCCGAAAGAGTGGGGGGGAACTTCAGGAGGCCCAGCCCGCGGGTTGGGGGACCCTTCCCACGCAGGAACTTCCACCTGGGGCCCCCGCCGGTTTGGCTCAGTGGATAGAGTGTCGGCCCACAGGCCAAAGGGTCCCGGGTTCGATTCTGGTCAAGGGCACATCTGCATTGCTCGGTGGCAGGTCCCTGTGGGAGGCAACCAATCAATGTCTCTCTCTCTCTCTCCCTCTCTCTCTCTCTCTCTCCCCCTCTCCCCGTAAATAATGGAAAAATATCCTCAGGGGAGGATTAAAAAAACACTCAAAAACCTCCACCTGGGAGCACCTGACACCAGAGGGCGCTGCTACGGTTACTAGAACCACCAGGTGACCCAGGAGCAAAAGGAAGGTGTGGACAACTCAGGGGGTGCCCCCCACAACCCCAGGCTGGAGCACACCCGTCCCCTCACCCCAAGGACTGAGATCTGGCCTCCGAGGGACCCCCTACCCCGCCCAAAGGCAGGGCCGCCCAGAGAGAGGGCGGGCGCCCCGCGCACAGCGGGCCCCACAGGTGCTGCAGGCTCCGCCCTCACCTTGTTGGCCCGGGCGGGGGGCGCCAGCAGACAGCCGAGCGCGGCCACGACGCACAGGAGCTTCATGGTGGGCAGCCTGGGGGAGACCCGACACCTGCGGGGGGAAGCACGGGGGTCAGCGGG